GATGCTGTGCCTCACGTAGCTTGTTGATGACGAGCTGGATGAGAGGAGAACGCTTGTTGTTATCTGTGCTACTACTAGATTGTGCTCGCTTCTCTATGCTCGCTGATTCATGAAGGTGAAGTTTGAGGATGACTTGGGCATGACATGGCAGAAATGCGAGTGCACCGATTTTGTACCGGCCCAGCTGGGCCTGATAGTGATGTGGCTATGTGCTCGACTGTGGTTTGCAGCGGAATGAGGGCCTCTAATAATGAATGAAAATGTGTGAGAGCAGTGCTAGAGGATCGTCTGAAACTCGAAAGCTATGTTCAGTTTCCAAATGCTACTCAAAATATCACTAGAGTGATGTGGAAGCTAGCTGGATCGTAGGTTCACCAATACTTCTGAAAAGATCTCCTGGCATAGAATTCACGTCTATGAAATAGAACAGCTGAGGTATATTCTGGAATAAGCAACACAGATACTTCCTCGGAATCCTTCGCCCGAGGCATGGTCAGATGGTCGGGCTTAATGTGCCGCGAATTGAAGCCAGCTTTCTCACACCTGTCTAAGCTGGCAGGAGCTCCCATGTCGAGTTTTGCCTATTGACTTGTCCAAGATATGTACACGTACATTACCATAATCGAAAGCTCATTGGAAACTTAGACGCACCCTCAGCCGCAGAGAGTGTTTCAGCGGCTGCGCTAAAGAAATCAGTCAGATGTCTTGTACTTTGAGGGAAGAAGGCGGACCAGCAACCGCGGATGTTATCATTGGAGCGAGCGGCTGGATACTGCCGAGATCGTGTGGGCTGTGGTCCTGGGACTTGTTAGTGGTGGCTGAGTACGGCACAGAGACTAGAGCTCATGGACAACGAGGTTGCTGAGACATCAGCTCTCATATCTTGTGCCCAACTCGAACAAAGGAAAGCACTGAATGGAAGTGGGAAGGACATGGACGCGGTGAGAGTGATACACGTAGCTTCTCGATGCAACCCTATGCCAAGTTTATTATATGCGATGTGATGTGTTCATCAGGCGTCTTGGCCTATCGGATCGATCATTCTATGCAACGAATCCTATTATCACCCTTCGCTAGATGCATCAAAGGTGGCTGTTCCCGACCTGACGGCTATCTGGCCGGCGGCACAGTGATGGAAGTAAGCACAAGACTGCAGTCTGGTATGAAGCACTCATTGAGGTGGTACAGCCGAGGGTGGTCAGATATTAGTGGCTCTCAACGATATTACTACCTTGACCTGCAGCAGTTCTTCCCGATCAGGGATATTGCTTTGCCCATCTATTTAGGGCCGAGCCGACTGGAGTCAACCGTAAATGCTTGCACTGTTCGTCCCCGCACTCCAAGCCATAATCGCGGTACCCAGAAGCATTGTGAGTGGATGTCACGTCTCGTGCGAATAGATGCACACGTGCGGCGGGAAGGCTGGGGGCCCTTACATCCATGCTACCTAAGATCCTTCAAGTCCTAGCTCGCTTTTCTCGGACCAGAATGCTGTGCTCGCACTTTTTCAGCTTCCACACTGAGACGACACGCAGTAGATGCAGACACCTGTTGCCCAGCCACAACCGACAATATGCACGCATCTTTTCTCCGCCAGAACCTCGTGGGGAAGCCCAAGTTGTGCGACCTTCATAGGGCTGATGTTGTGGGACAAAGATGATGCAAGGTCGGTGGGCAGTGCTGGTAAGGTAGCACTGCCCCTACGTCGGGCGCGATGCAGCTTAGGGGTTATCTGGAGATCGTGACTATTCGTCTACTCTCAAAGCATCAGGACTCTGTCTAAGTCAGTATATATTAAGACCAGCTGCTTCTCGACGCAAAATATGAATTTCCAATACTCATCATACACACACTCCAGACATTTCTTTTCTTCTGTTCTCTCGATTTCCTTTCCTACTCATTTTCCTTTTCTCCGTGCAATTCTCAAAAGCTTCAGTTTTTTTCAACCCTCGTACTCCCCATAACTTATTAATAACTCATTTTCTTATACTAGTCATTCAACCCTCGTACTCCCCATAACTTATTAATAACTCATTTTCTTATACTAGTCATTCAAAAATGCCCATGCTCACTTCTATGCGTAGCCGCTCAGGCTCTCCCCCAGCTATGCCCAGCCCTGAGCTTAACAGCCGTTCTCCTTTCCCTCTTCAATCACCTGAGATTGATAGCATTCAATTGCCGCGTTCTTGGGAAGCGGCTTGGGAGGCAGCGGGCCAGACCAACTTTGAGCGCGCGCAAGCTTTTCTGTTCTTCTACCGTGGAGATGCCGCTTCTACCAACAGCGAGCTCCGATCCATCGCAGCAAATCCCAAGCATCGAGATGTCGTCTCTCTTGCAGCTTCAGTCCAGCGAATTGTCTTTGGCAACCGCCACTCGACCTTCAACACAACCTCCCTGCTGCAGTGGATGCGTTTCGTGCTCATCAAGAGCCAAGCTCTTACGTCTACCAAGACGAACGCAGTTCGCGATTTCTTCTTTGACCCATCGGTAGCTCGTAATCTACCTCAACTCCCCCAAGACCCGGTTGTTTATCAATACCCAGCAGCCCCTTTGAAAGTCATGATCATCGGTGGAGGCCCCACAGGCCTGGCTTCTGCGATTGCTCTGGCCGAGAAGGCTGGGGCCAGAGTGGAGGTCCATCTTTACGAAGGCAGATGGATTCAGCAGCCGGGTAGCTCTTTCGTCAGTTACCCACCAGGGGCCCGTCGTCGAGACCAGGTAGTCACGCTGCAAGACACCGTGACAGACTTGATGAGCGATAGAACGAGACAAGCTGTCTTTGGCGGAAATCCAGAGCGTGTTTGGCCTGGTTCCAGCAATCTCCAGATCCGCAAGCTCGAAGACGGTCTCTTACGACGGGCACAAGACAGCCAGTTCCGCGATCTCATCTTCCTACATGCCTCACAGGTCAGACAGGACAATCTCTCGGAGTACGGCGACTTTCACCTGATGCTTGGTGCCGACGGCGCTGGTTCTTGGCTTCGCAGTGCTTACTTTCCGGGGCAAGAGGAAGAGGTTGGAAAGAGCTATGCCCTAGGGGTTGCTTTTGATCGGCCTCGTGGTCTTCCTTTCTCACAGCCCATCAACATCTTCCTCACCATGGGCCAGACTCGCTACCTCCTTAATGCTAGCGACTTCGATGGCACAGGATATCTCAACATGCAGTTGACCGAGACTGAATGGCATCAAATGGTCTCCGTTGATGGCCATCCTTGCACATTCGGTCGACCAAGTTGCCTTAAGGTCGACGACTGCCTGCCTCATGGCTTTGAGGAGAACCAGGTCTTTGCACCGTCTCAGCAACCTGACAGCCCGTTGTGGAAGGCGATACTTGATGGTCTGGAGCTTTACGGTTTCAAGCAGTGCGAGGTGAAAAACATTGTTCGCATCCCCATTGTTGTACGCAGGATCAACAAAGCCGTCGAGCAGATTCCGCAGTGCGACTCTGCAGCCCTGCGCCGACCCCACGGTCTGGTTGCCTTGGCTGGAGATGCGGCAATGACGGTGCACTTCTGGCCTGGGAGAGGTGCGAACTCCGGCATGAAGGCAGGCATCGCTTGGGCTGATGAAGTTGCTCGTGCTCTCTTTCATGGCCAGTTCGTTGGTCTTCAGACCTCTTCGCTGGGGATGTACCACGACTTTCTGCAAAAGCTCCAAGAACGGGAGCACGGCGGTCGCAGTTTGCCCATCGTCAAGCAGACCGGAGATCCCGATATGATGGCCTGGTTGATGCGCAACGCTCGACTTATCCCGCATCACGTGGCGATGGAGTGGCTAGTCGGTCAGATGCGTCGTGATGGTGTCCGCATTCAAAGGCGTGCCGACTGGGCTTTTGAGCAGGTTAACAACCTCGAACCGCAGCTTCGGGAGATCCTCGAGAAGATGGATGCCGTTACCATTCAGGAGATGGCCGCGACGTTCCCATGGCCTACGCGGGAAATGGCCGGGGCCGAAGTCCTTCCGGAGAGGTCTGTAGTTGACGCCTGCTTGAGTGGCCATAGGCCGACAGAAATTTCGAAGGTTGAAAAGCAGACAAAATCAAAAAAGCAAGACAAGAAGAAACAGAGGGCAGAAATCTCCGTATCCGCCTCTGAGATTTCGCCGGCGTTCTTGGCTAGCCTGGCGACTCATAACAAACCAGCTCAGCGGTCTTCTTGGCGTTCATTCAGCTTCAGCAGAACGCCTCAAGCTGTTCAGTCGTAGTTCTCTCATTAGGATGGCGGTTTGCGAATGGTTCAAAGTAATGAAAGTTGTTGACGGTGGCTGTCCGGGGTTTGGAAATACGGCATGAATGGGTGGTGCATTTACACGAATCAAAATTTGGAACTCGGAAAGGGAACGTTAGTTGGCGTTTTGAGTAGTTGGATTTTGCTTAGGATGGTATTGGAGTCCAATGGAGTCGTCCTGCTTGATATTATAAGAATAATTGAATAAGCCTTTATAGTCAATGTAACCAAATAATTCCTGCTTTTTGTAACTTGTTCTAAATGATGTCATTGTTGATGTAATTCATAAGTTGCACATCGATATCGAGCGGCGCAAGCTTTGTCTTGATCCCCTCCTGAAACATGACCTTTCCTGAGAAGAACGCCAGGTTCCGCTTTGATTATGCAGTTGGTAGTTCAGTCTTGCTTCTTTGAAGACTCAAAGTGCAAGTCCGCGCCAACACAAGGCAGATTTACCACGTCAAATCTGGCCAACCACTCGCCGCAGCAGGCCAACCAATATGCGGCCAGCCCCAACATCTTGAACTGCGGCGGTGCTGTTGGAGGAGGCCTGGCGCCAAACCATGTGCCACAGAATCGGCCTCTTTAATTCGCTGATGGCAATGTAGTGCAACCAACCCGTACGCCTTGAAGCCCTCAAGGCTGCGTGACCTCACCGCGTGAACAGCTTTACTTAAATAGAGGCAGTTGGCACTCCAAGAGCTATTGATTGAACTTGAGGCCATCCACAAGTTTCTCCGGATCGCATCTCACAGAAATCGGCGAGTGTTCAACATGTCCAATGCAGACAGCGAAGGACCGCTATCGCTGGAGGAAAGATGGCAAATGTGCAAAATTCAGGATGACCACAAGGCTTCCCTCGTTGAGGTATTTTTTCGTACTCTCTATCTGATTCGTGCATGATTTGTCAAGTAGCTGACCGGCTCAATCAGGATTTGTTTTCTCACATTGCAGAGCTTTCCGAGAAGCTCTCCGAGGTTAGGATGGAGCTCAAGGAAAAGAAGATGCTGGTACGGTCTTTGTTTGATACCGATGACAAGAGTAAAGATCAAATCGAAAAGCTGCAAAACGAGAAAGCATGTTGCCCCATCCGCTTTGCCAGCCAGAAAGGCACTGACCCAGCTAGGACAAACACTGTTTTGCAATGGTCCTCGTTGACGGCGATTGTATGCCAGTAAGTCAGAACTCTTCAGCCTTCTTGCTTCCTATCAACCAATATCTCAGTTTTCTAATGACTTGGCGAATCATCAGTTTCTGGGTGATCTTATTGAGCAAGGACTCGAGGGAGGCAAGAAAGCTGCAAGCCTTTTACGTCTCGCTGTTTTTGACGAGCTGAAGGCCATTGACCCCTGCCTTCCGCATCACCTGCAACTTGCCATCCGCGTTTACGCCAACTTGAAGGGTCTGGCCAAGACTTACACCGAAATGGGTATTATACCAGATCCGAGTGTTTTGGATGATTTCGTCCGAGGCTTCAACATGTGGAATGCAATGTGCGACTTTGTTGACGCGGGTAATGGCAAGGAGTGTACGGATGAAAAGTTGAAGGGTAAGTGAACTTACAAAAGCTTCCAAAGAGCGACAACTAAGACCTTTCAGCAAATTTTGAGTCGAGTGTGTCCGATGTTCACTGTCGACATGTTTTGTTTGGTGGTTCGGCAGATAGCGGTTACGCTCGCCTGTTGGGATCGTACCTCGATAACGATGAGATCCGCAAGAAGGTCGTCCTTCTCGAGGGACCTCCATTTGCGCAAGAGCTAGCGGAGATTAAAGACCAATTCCGCGTCGCTTCTTTCAACAGGGTTTTCAGGCGTCAGAAACTGTTCAACAACATCAAGCGCAAGGTTTCATATAACATCACACCACCATCGACACCCTCGCCCAACTATGCGTCAGCCGCTGCGAGAGCTCCACCAGTTCTCGCTGGAGACCTGCCAGTACGTCAACAACCCATAGTTGACTCCAGGATGCCTCTTCTAGGGCAGGTGCTGCGGAACAAAGCCGGGCAACGGATTGATCCACCACTCGATTGTACCCACCAGGAGTTCATCCTGATGAAGAACCGCAAGTTATGCAACAGTCTTCATCTTTTGGGTAGATGTCCCTATAGGGAAGCTTATGGGAAGTGTTCGCACGACCACAAGGGCAGGTTGAGCCCCAAAGAGTTGCAAGTTCTCTGGGCCGTCGCTCGTCAGTCTCACTGCCATACAGGTCTCAGCTGCTCCGATCCAAATTGCGTATTTGGCCATCAGTGTCCCCGTGAGAGTTGTAATGGGGCGAGCTGCCGCCTGAGATTCCCGCTGGAGTTGCATAACATTGACAAAAGACCTACTCGATGAAACTCGGAGAGAATGCACCATTAATGCATAAATGAGGGAGATGAAGTTATGAGTACCTCCAAATGAAGCACAGAGTCTACTAGAATGTCTAAGGGTGTAACATCTGAGATGAAATCTCCAACGCAATCAAATCTAACCTGCAATACATATACTCCAAACCTCTATTGTGTTCGTAACAGGGCCATTCAGAGTTTCTTCACCATGATGTTATCAGTTTGGATCACTGATCCAATGGCAAAGTCATGGGTACCACATTCCTCGTACCCCCATTTCCCATACGCCTTTTGCGCCCGAAGGTTCTCTTCCCAGACGCCCAACCACATGTGCTTGAAACCTTGTTCCCTAGCCATGTCTTCTAACCTGTCTGCCAGAAGCTTTGCAGCGCCCGTGCCTTGTGCCTTCGGATACATGTAAATTCTCTGCAGCTCAACAGTATCGTCGAGGTGTGCGATACATGGCTCTGATGAGCCCCGGGTGAGCATGGCGAAACCCAGAATGTCTCCAGTAGGATCAACAGCGAGTAGTGTGTCTTTGTTTGAATCGTCGAGATCTTTTGTGATAGCTTCGAGGCTGTAGGACTCCTCTAGGAACGCTTGGAGCTCATGCGGCTCGACTGAATGGCCGAATGTGACCGTGAAAACATGGGTAGCGAGTTCTGATATTGCTGTGGCGTCATCGAGAGCTGCTGGCCTGAGTGTGGCCGTCATGCGAACACCTTCTTGGACATTGGAGGACTTTGTCATGGTCGATGTAGTCAAGGTTGAGAACAAATTGTAGTGAATCGGGATATGCGTGGCGTTACGTGGCGTGCTTTTTTGGTGGAATTGATGGCCCACAACGATGGCAGATCTGATCGGATGGTGCGGATTACTTCTCAAGCCCAGCGATCTGGTCCTAACGCCCTTTTGTACGGTTCCAAGATATCGCAGACCTGCTGTCATCTTCATTTGACCCTACCTTAGCCAGAAGACTTTCCCAAAATCGATGCTTCTGGAAGACACGTCGCTAAAAACGCTAAATTCCCACTGACAGGGCGCGTCGAGCCGCGTCGGCTGTTGTCTCTGTGCGGCTATTAAAGGAAAGTCTCGCCTTTGTTAGGGCGCCTTATTGTCAAAGCCACAGGTCAAGAAGCAAGATGATTGGTTGCATCTGCTCAAGAGTCTCCATCTGGCCTGCGCCCTTGGCACGACACCGGTCATGACCGAAATCTGCACCCGTTTTGTCTCCATCACATCAACAGAACCAGACATTCTGGTGAGTTCTCGAAAATGACGTATCTAGGTGAAAGTTCTTCCGGGTCTTTGTTTTACTTGATGCTCCAGCGCAGAAATCTCAGGCGCTGAATACACTTCCGCATGTCGATTGACCTCCCTTTGTCATGACTCAGTCTACGTTCTGAGGTCCAATTTCAATCATCCAGTGATTCAGGAATATCAATGAAATTGAAATCTAAGGTATAAGCTACGGGAAATTTTGCTAGATGAACGACGAAACAGAAACTGAAGACTTAGCTTGATTGATGTTACTCATTGAAACTCCAGCAATTCCATGTGCTTAGGCGCGTTCCGACTTTTCCTCCATGTTCTTCTGTCTCGTACCAAAGATGACAATACCACACACAGCAGCACTTGAAATCGCAACGAAGAGAGCACTCACTGTGGAGAACCAACCCACACCAATGCCCTGAATACCTGGAAGTACCACTGCCGTACCGATGGCAGCAAAAGTGTACCTGATGAAGTAGTTGCCAGCTAGCAAAATACTGTCAGCTTATCTGTCACTAGGCCGAGGGGACGAAGTTCAGCATGCTTACCCATGACTTCAGCTGCCCTCTCTCTGAAGACATCTAAACAGTAACTGTTAAGACAAGGGAAGCAGACCATTTGCGCAACGCCTTGCAAGAACATGCAGATAACGGGGAGTGGGATTCCGCCCTTAGCCTTGTCGATTGCCCATCCATAGATGATTGTGGTCGCCGGGATGACGACCCCTAGCGCGATGAAAGCACTTCGCAGACGGTCTTCCGGAATACGCCGTCCTCTCTTAGCGATCCACTTCTTCACGGTGTAATCGGCATATCGGCCGCCAAAAAAAGTACCAACGAGATATCCTGCTCCAGGTGCCAAGAAGAAGAATCCTGACTGCAGAGGGGAGGTAAGGTGGAATCTCGGGTTGATAACGTAGCGAACTGGTGTCAAAAGGACCTGCATATTCCACAGGACAGACGATGCCGCAACCCCCTGGGTGCATAGTCAGCTGATGATACACAATGGTAAAGGGCCTTACCGCCGTAGGCTATAGCTACACGTCCACTAGGACGGCCGTTGTTTTACCGTAATCGGCCTGGTGTACACCTCAAAGGCTCGTTGATGACCAAAGGGGGAGGAAGACTCACGACAATGAGGATCTTGGGGTACCGGAATAGACTGATGACCCGGAACGGATTCGCCCACTCCCAGATCTGGCCAATCTTCTCTTTGGTTGTCATTCCCTCCAATTCTTCAGACCACTTTCCGTGACTTGTTTCTGGAAGGAAGGCTACTGCCAGGACCATAGCAGCGCCACCGAGAGCGCCCTGGAACCAGAAAAGAGATTTCCAGGTTGAGTACGTAACAATGACACCTCCGATGAAAGGACCAAGAGCAGGCCCGATACTTATGAAGAGTACATGTATCAGCCATGGATGTTCGGTCGACCAGGAAACAGAGGGCAAGGGGGCTAGGACTCACAGGGTGCCTCCAAGAAACCAACCCAATGCCGTGCCACGTTCAGTCGGGCGATAGATGTCACTGAGACAGGCAGATCCAACGATAAGGAAAGAGGTTCCGGCAAATGCAGTGATTGACCGGAAGATGAAGAAAGCTGGCAGATTGGGGGAAACCGCTGTAGCCAGTGAAAACGCGCAGAACAACACTGTCGATATGACGAAGATCTAGGACATTTAGTTCAAGTGTAGGGCGGGATACATGCCAAATTGGCCGATTAAGAGCTGACTGCAACTATGATACATGATGGTAGGATGTACAAAGGTGGTTTTGCTTACCCATTTTCTGCCATAGACTTGACTCAGTGGGCCCCAGAAGAGAACGCCAATGCCCATCATTAACAGGAAAAGAGCATTGGTAAAATTGATGACAGTTCCAGACGTGTTGAAAGCCGCTGCCACCTCCGGCAGCGCTGAAAGCACGAGCAGTGAAGCCAAGTTGATGCCCAAGCCAGCGAAGGACACGATGGCGGTGATCAAGCGCTTGCGACCGGGTGTAAAGCGATCGTAGACTGTCTCATCTTCACGGTACGAGTACGGTCGGCTGGGCGTTTGAGCAATGATATTTACACCCTTCTCGGCGTTGGAGGTTCTTAAGGCAAGCAGGTCGGGGGGTAACTCGTCTTTCCTCGTGGGAACCTCTGATAATGTGTGTTCAGACATGATGGACATGATGACGGTGATGATTTGAACATGGAATAGAAGCAACAGTAGTGGAGAAGCTGTATTGACAACTTGAACTTCAACTAGGCAGCTGATGAGAGCGAAGAGTTGAGAAGAGGAAGCGACAGGCTTTGCCAAGGAAATGTGTCCACCAAAATCATGAATAACCAGTCCTGTATTGTTCCGTTTTCTGAGGGGGGCAAAGCGCTGTATATAAAGCATCAAAGACCATACTAGAAAAATGTCAGAAAATTCTCGGCTGCACACTTACCCACCTCGGGATCATGATTCCGAAGTCGGGCACTGGGACTATCACCTCCGAAACGCCTTCAAAGACATCATCCATGGTCTTTGTGAGAAAAATGCCCCCAAAACCAGCAAAAATTGTTTCATTGGGCCCCCGGTCTTTGGACCTGTGTGCTAGCGGAGCGTCTCCGCAGCGGGGAATATCTGCAACCTTTTACGTCTGTCACCTCCACTTCGGGTTGGAATCAGGCTTTGATATTGGACGAGGGCGATGACCTGGAGCTCCACTAAGACTGCAAGTGTCTTATCTAACATCATTCTCCAGGTTGGAAAAGTCTGGGCCATCTTGGAAAATACGGAAATGAGCCGGAGCCGGGGCGTGGGGGTTCACCTGGCATTTCTGGCCCCTCCTGCCGGCGCCGCTGCGCCGGCACAGGGCAAGAAGGCCGAGATCGCAGCCCCCGAGGTCGGCCGGCTTTGAGGCCTCCGAGAGCCGTTCGAGGGCCGGACACGGGTCCGTCTACAGCCGGAACGTCGCACAACGGAGTGGTACAGAAGTATTGCACACCGCCTGTCTCTGAAATGAATGACCACCAGCTTGATCATTTGCAGTAAGAGATTTTATTGTATTACCGCTACATCGTGGTTGCGCCCGCTAGAGGAGTAGCACAACAGTAGCTCCGATTTTCGGAGCAATGAGACCCGAACTAACATTTCAAGTCTGAGTCAAGCAATTGCTTTGACAGGCCCTGATTTTTGTTTTCCATCAGTCAATTCTCTAAAACGCATTGAAGTAAAGTGGACTTTTAACTTCAATCACCACCCTCTTTGCAAATGTGTAGACCATGGTTCGAGATTGCCTGACCGCATTGGCTTTGAAACCTCTGACGACTACATGTGCAGTCCCCCCTGCTAAATCTCGCGAGTACATACACGCGCATAGAGTCTACGGCGTCATTATCGATCGCCGAATCCATTTATCTAGTCTTCCAATCGTACTCCAAGCTCCAGGCGTATGCGACGCGGTAAACATCTTCTTCATGCCACCACTTGCCAATGATTTGCATGCTCACGGGCAGTTTTGTTTCCGAACCTTTCAGAGGACCTTCTTCAATCGGAAGCATACCAATCGGCATAGCGAGGACCGGATGGCCTGATTGATTGAAAGGGGCGGTGTTAGCAGTGAGTCCGACTTGCTTTCCAATCTTCTCGAGCGGGGACGCATCATAGGGAGTATGGGAATTGGCAACGTAGGGTAAGTTCGGCGTCACCAAAACATCAAACTCTCGCAGAGCATTGTCATAGTCGTCTCGTAGCTTTCTGCTGAGATTCGTCGCCTTTCCGAGCAACCCTGGGAACGCTGCTTGCGCGTAGACACCGTTGAGATAGATGTTTTTTGACGAAACGTATGCGTTATCCCACTGCTCCTGCGTAAGGTCCTGAAACTTGTCCGTCAAGTCGGTCATGATATGGCCCCTCCTGCCGAATGCAAGATTTCTCTTCCCCAGATAACCTCCGCTCTTGCTGATGGCAGTCCAAACGGCTGCTCCCTTGGAGTGAAAGGAAATTGAAACTTCTTCTACGGTCGCCCCAAGATTTTTAAAACCTTGTATCGCAGCCTCGACACATGCCTTGACGCGAGGTTCCACAGATGGCTGGTTCATGCCTTCTATCAAGACGCCGATCTTGACACCTGACAGATCTTTCGGGTTTGTAAGCTTCGTCAAGTTGTCATAGTACTTGGGAACGTTATCTGGGTTCGGTGCTGCGAACGATCTGTCGTCGATATTGTCGTTGCCCGCAATGACCTGGAGCATCAACGCGTTGTCGAGAAGTGTTTGTGTCATGAGGCCGACATGGTCATTGGTAGGCTCATTTGAGCCGCAAGCGGTGTAGGGCACAAGTCCAAAGGTCGGCTTCAATCCATAGAGACCGCACCATCCGGCAGGGACACGTATTGAACCGCCTTGGTCAGCGCCGAGAGCCATGTCCACGTCTCCGTTGGCAACTAGTGCCCCTGAGCCACTTGAGCTGCCCCCGCTGCTGTAGCCTTTGGCATAGGGGTTATGTACATGCCCAGTTGAGGAAGAGCTGCTCGTAGCGGAATGGCACATATTCTCGCATACGGACTTTCCAGATATGATTGCGCCGGATTCTAGCAACCTTGTCACACACGTTGCGTCGGTGTTCTAGTTAGGTTAGCATAATTGACGAGAATACTGTTGAGTCATACTGATTTTACTTACTGGGACGTAGTCTCTAACAAAGTCGGTTCCAAGAAGCATTGGAACGCCCTTGACTGCGATGTTGTCTTTGATGGCTATCGTTTTACCTGCCAGCAACCCTCCGCTTTTGGTCTTGTCCTCTACTCGGCACCTCCAAGCCCAAGCACCCAAAGGATTCTCCGAGATATCCGGAAATCGAATTTTCTCCCTTGGAAATCTTTCCTCATCTACCGGAGGCACATAATCTGCGACGTACATTGTCATGAGTATGTCTTCAACAAAGGTCGGGACTTGAAACCTACCAGGAAGCGACATAAGACCCACTACAGACTCGTGGAAAACGGCTAAAAGCCTCTGATATTCATTCTTTTCTTCTGGTTTGATCGTAACGCCCAGTGCTTGCAAGGTGTCGTCCAGGACTTCTGCTGTCACTGGGTTTGCCTTTTCTACTTCCAGTGAAAAGACAGACATGTTGTCAATATAGTTTCAAGGGAACCAAGATTTCTAGAGTTTAAGACTCAGCCGAGCGACAAATTTTGCAGATGAGTTATGGTCTGTCGCAGATTGTGCATCTATCAAGGCTTCAAGTGTAGTTATTATGCCCGGCTTGGATCGAGTAAAACGTACCAAGATAGGTAGATCCACATCAGCATCGTTGGCCGACCTGCCTATCTCTATCGGCCTAGTTAGAAACAACTTATCTTAGCGTTTTCGGGTGTCCGAAATTACATGCAAGTTATCAAGCGATCGGAGGTAATGAGCCGGCAGTAGAACGCACCTTAGGTGCTTACTGCGGTAGGCATTCCCCGCCATCGCCTTATCTCGTGAAGGATCTCCCCACCATCAGGAATACCCCGCTTGGTATCAAGCATATCGCGATAACGCCTGTTTAGCCTCGGTGAATACACCTTAATCGAGAAATGTTACCTTGAGGTGGATGTATATTATGAGTGCGCCTTTACGCATTTATGATTCTTTCAAATGTCATGTGCCAGTTCCAATAATTAGTCAAAGCGGCCGAATCCATTTTCTTTCGTCACTGGAATCCATCATCAACAACCCGATTAATCTTTACTCTTACCAAAATGGTTCATATCGAAGAAAGCTTGCAGATACCCCGGGACTTTGAGGGTGAGTCTGTTGTTACTTCCAGCGTAGTCGCAGTTACTAATACAACAACCCTTAGGTTTCGGCGAGGAGGGCTTCGATCCAAAATGGCCAAATGGTGCTCGTATCGCGGTTTCCTTTGTTCTCAACTATGAGTATGATTGGTCTTTACCAACTACATGTTACTATTACTAAAACTGTGTATAGAGAAGGCGGAGAAAGAAGCACATTGGACGGAGACCCTTTTTCGGAACCATACTTGTGGGAGAAAGGCGCATCTGGTGGCTACAAAGAAGGCGCCAGGTACCTCAATGCCGAGCAAGACTTTGAGTATGGCAGTCGCTCAGCTTCTTGGCGTCTTATCCGTCTCTTCAAGGAATTTGGCTGGAGCTTCACTACTTACGCTGTAGCTTACGCGCTCAAGCGCAACCCAACCTTTGCAAAGGCGCTGGTCCGAGACGGACATGAAATCGCTTGTCACGGACTCAGATGGCTGGATATCTGGAACTATGCACTCGAGGAGGACAAGGAATACATCAAGCAGAACATTCTTATGCTGAAGGAAGTATCAGGTGAGATGCCCGTCGGCGCTTACTTTGGCCGTGGTACACCCAATACCCCCTCGTTATTCCCGGAAGTATGGAAGAGTCTTGGAGGCGAGTTTCTCTGGTCTTCCGAATGTTACAACGATGATGTTCCTTACTGGCTTGACTTGCCATGGGAGAAAGAGTTGCGAGAGGAGAAGCGAGAAGGCATGCTGCTCATCCCTTACAATTATGATTGCAACGATGGAAAATTCCACATGTCGCCCGGCTTTGGCAGCTCTGTTGCGGAGACGTATGAGCAGTATTTGAAGAACACTTTTGATTGCTTGTACAGAGAGGGCGGCAAGCTGATGAACATTCCATTGCATACACGTATCATTGGCAAACCAGGCAGATCAGAGGCTTTGAGGAAGTTCATGAAGTACATTGCGGAAAAAGAAGGAGTTTGGGTTACAACGAGACGCGATATCGCCAGACACATGAGGGCAGAATTTCCCTACAAGCCAAACAGGGAGTGGATGAAGGGTAAATGAATCACCTGTATGTAGTCAACGTCAACATGTTTGAGGTACAAGTGCCGAAGGCTTCGTGAGGGCGTGATGTTGACCGTGTCATGATGTTATCCAACTCTGAAATACAGAGCCTTCTCACGCTCATTGGAATCGAGAACCAGCCCGAGGATATGAACAAACAAACGTAGACTAGCCGAAACAAACGGCATAGCATGGACAATCGTCGCGCAATTGGTTGTTGACCAAACACCGCTTGTTGGTCAGTTCCCCAGATTTCGGCCAGAAAGCTCCCTGTTGAGACGGTTGAATGCCGAAAACGGCCAGTTGACACAAGCATGGTCGGAACCTCCGATCGGGGCTGGGTAGCCATAGAGTCGGATGTTGTCCGAACAGACTAGCCCTGCATGGATTAGTCCCAACAACCAACCGCGCTCAGGCGGCATCGGCAAATTTGAGGAGGATCCGACAAGTATGTAAATCGGATCTCCGCCTCTATCATCCGAACGAAGTTTTCGGGCAGCAGAACAAACCTTGGCATTGAGAGACGGGCATGACGTCCGAAACTCAGGACCCGGTATCGCCGCCCCTGGCCACGCCGGGGGCCGTAGCTGTGAACCCCCGGAAGAGGGGCAGGACTGCGTGTACGCGATGCAAAAGTCGTAAGCAAAAGGTACTTACCCAGAGCCGATCAAAATAGCACCTCAGACGTTTTCCTCTGATTCTGGCCTTAGTGTGACGACCAATATCCTATTTGCTCAAATTGTCGTAAATCAGGAGCACAGTGTGATAAGACAGATGTCGCCGACGATGCTTCATCGATTGCGTAAGTAGTTGGTCATTCAATTCCGATCAAGTTGACAAGTCTTGATTGAATGTATGTGGGCTGATCTCCGATGCAGATACACACGAGCTCTCGAAGAGCGAGTAGCTTTCTTGGAGAACAAGCTAGCCCAAGTCCCTACCCCAGAAGCAACCACAACTCCGAGGGAAACCGCAAGCAACTACTCGGTTCCGTCGGGTAGAGACAAAAATGCCCTCAGTGACGTTGTAGCACACGTCTCGCTAGGAAACTTCGAGGCGCCGGCTTATGTTGGACCCTCGTCTGGACTATCCTTAGCTCTGAACCTTGGCGAGATGGTACAGGCGACTGTCTGGAATAAGATGTTGCCAGACATACAGGATGGCACTACGGGCAATCAGGCTAACTGTATCAATCCCAGTCCGAGATGCATCACAGTGGAAGATCTTTTGGCTCATAGTGTCAAGGAACCTCCAAGTGATGAGCAGGGTTCTCAAATGCTCAAAGCGTACACATCTCAGCTGCACTCCAAGTACCCTTTCCTGGAGCCTGAGGAGTTGTGGAAGTTGCATAGCGAGAGACTGACTCTGGCTGCTAAATCAACACAAACTCTTACAAGGATTGAACGCTTCGGTATTTTCAAGTTGTATCTTGTATACGCTATGGGGGCAACTCTAGTGCAACTGACGCAAAGGGGCCCAGTATTATCTCCAGAGGTATGCATTTGACACCATTCTCCAGTACATTCATTGTGTTTGACATCGTTGACATCATTCCTCAAGGCTCTCTATATCACTGCTTTGCAGCATATCTCAGCAGCCAGGGAGTCGAGAACCGTCCAAAACATTGAGGCAATGACGTTGCTCGTGATGTTCCATCTTCGGTCAACATCTAGCCATGGGCTGTGGTACATGATTGGATTAGCAATGAGAACATCAATCGACTTGGGCCTGCATCGCGCGGCACATGAACACAATCTTGATGGCTCTATCGTTCAAAGAAGACGCAGGCTTTTTTGGTCTGTCTATTCTCTTGAAAGAACCATAGCAGTGTCGCTTGGTCGGCCTTTGAGCATCGCAGACAACCAGATCGACGTTGAGCTTCCGAATACCATCTTCAACGGGAGCCCATCTGCTTCGGTCATTGTCGGGAACGACATCACTCTGGCACTCGTTCTTTTCAAGCTTCGCAGAATCGAGTCCAAGATTCATCACTCGGTTTATCGCACGGACAAGACTTTGGACGCACTCCGGCCCAAACTAGACCGGCTGCATCAGCAACTCAAGTCTTGGCGGGACTCTCTGACGGATTGGATTCCTGCAGGTCATCCAGATCTGAACTATGCGCTCCTGCTCTATAATCGTGCGCTGCGTCTTCTGATACAGCCGTTTTTGCCGATATTACCAGCAACAGACCCGTTCTATGGACTGTGCATGCGAGCCGCAGGTGATATATGCCAAGCACATAAGAGATTGCATCAGACCCTGGACTACGGCCACAGCTTCATCGCAGTCCAAACAGTCTTTGTCGCAGGAGTCACTCTCGTGTATGGACTCTGGACTCAGGGTAATGCGCTTTGGTCGGTGGCTGTGTCAAACGATATAAGAGCTTGCTCTCTAGTGCTCTTCGTCATGAGCGAGAGGGCTCCCTGGGTACGTAAGTACCGAGATGCTTTTGAGGTGCTTGTGAATGCAGCCATGGAAAAGCTTCAGGATAGCGAGGCTGGTCTTGCTGAGATGGCCTCGGCCCAAATGAGAGCCAGCAAAGCGCCGGGTGCGGCTGATAGTCGTGGAGTACAAAATCCTGACCTCAGTGGGAACGAGGCCACGACGCGTCCGATAGATAGTACTTCCAATCAGTTCTTGATGTCTGAAGACGGTGGAATAGCGCTTGGAGAGTTTGAGGGCGCTTGGCCGATGGTTGCAGAGCTTGCAAATTGGATCGATCAGGACACGGAAGGTGGAAGTCCCGTCTGGATGCCGAATTTTGAGTTACTACAGAGTCTTTCAGGCACCTGGAACGAATAGAGCATCTGAATCATATTGGATATACAAACAATTCTTCTCAGATTGAATTCAATGGAGGTACTGTCGCCTGGTCGCTTGCCTTTTAGTAGGCGTCTTTGATGGGAAAAGGTTGTTAAAACCCTTCACCAGCTGGGATAAATGTCAAAGGTGATTTTATGGTGATAAGACAAGTAATTCAAGTTTCTTGATAATTTCGTTAAGAACTCAAACCAGTCTTTTTGGAAAACGCGAAAATCTGACGAAATGAACCGTATAATTTGGTTATTCAAGTAAGTATTTGATCACACCTTCCTTTAAACCGTATACTTCTCGCTGATAGACTCAGCACCGGCGCTCTTCCCCGTACTCTGCTGGACTTCAGTCTCCTCAAAGGAATAAAAGACTCCACGAATAGTATCAACACTCTCTCCAGGGAAGAAACCCTCTGATGGCGCCATGCTCTCAAAGCCCGTGTTTGTCTCTGACTCCAGCTCTTGTGGATAAACCGGAATGGGCCAGATAAAACAAGCTACGAAGTAGACTAACGAACCCATTGCGAGAGAAAGCAGGAAACCCAGCTTATACATGTTCTTGCTTGCCTGGTTAACGGAGTCGGGGTCAAGGTTTCCAGCAATGCCGTGTACGGTGAACGCAACGCCAGCAACCCACGCGGTGACCGCGCGCAAGTTCCAACCTTTGTAGTACGTGTACGGAGTGCCTTGTCCTTTTGTGTACAGACTTGGGACATGGAGGTTTCCTCGACGGATGATCCAGTAGTCTACGATCATGATCTGGAAATTCATCAGTACGACGAGGATTTCTTATGGGATGAGGACTTCTTGTATTTACACCACAGGTGGGCATCAGGAAAACGGTGTATGACCCCAAGAAAGTGAGGAAAGAACTGGCACTGGCGATGATCTTCCACGGTACGCAAAGGGGTGCAAGCAGAGCACATATCACCTGACCCCTGACAATATTGATATACCTCGGCCACAGCCCGCTGGTATCAGCACCGACCGGCAGAGAATTCGAGCCGGCATTGGTCGCGATAATCGCCAAAATCATGCCCTGATACACCGATTAGCAAGCCGAAAACCGCTCTGGACGATGTTCATCTTACCGCGGAAGCGAAGAACATCCCAGCGCGGGCCCCAGGACCCCAGTACTCAGTCAAGATAGCGTTATAGAGATCCCAGACGTTCCAGTAGCTCTTGCCAAGAACACCAGCAGCCGCGCTAGTTGTGGCACAGCTAAGGAACATGACGAGCACCTTGCTGACAAGGATACCGATGGCTTGTGACCAGGTTGCCTGTGCTGGACGCGTAGCGTAGCGAGCGACATCAGGTTGGTTAACAAGGATCGGGCAGAGTGCCGCCATAACGCTGTTAATAGCTTGGATCATGGGCCACACGAGCGCCGCGCCGCTTAGAGACTTCGCCCCAAAGTTGAAGCCACCCAAGCTCCCTCCGTTAGCATGTACCGCCCATCCCAGGACGCCGACTAGTCCTGCAGTTGTAGCCACTGACTTCACCACAAATAGGTGTCGAAGCATAGTCGGATGGATGAACATCACCGGGAACTGCATGATCCAGAAGATGAAGAATGCCAACAGGTTCTTGGAAGTGATCCCCGCGCTTGTTGGTAGGCGGTTAGGAATATTGTCCCACCCGGAGCCGAATATGGCTCTGAGGGCCACAGAAGTGAGCATACCGCCATAGAATGACTGAGTTGCGAAGTAGATGACGGCGACGGAGGCACGCACGACGATGAATAGTTTCGCACCGCTAACACCGGCAGCAGCGCGAACGTATACGGGGAATCCAACATGATAGCGAGTTGCGCCGCGGGAGTTGAGGATAACCACGACGCTGAGGATAGCGGAGCCGATCACTGCTGCAATCATGCCGTGCCACCATTGCTGCGCGTTGATTGTCAGAGATTCTATAAGAGAATGTAGAACATGCACTGAATCCAACGTACTAGGCCAATTGAGATGAGAGTTGCTCCAAGATTATAAGAGCCTGGTGAAAATGTCTGGGTCAAGTAGTACGTGAAGAAGTGTAAAGCTGTCCAACTTCGATGCTCTTCAGAGAGAGGTCATTTATTTGCTCATTGTGTCCAAAACTTCAAATGACAACTAACCTGGAGGAGTAGGCAGCAAGTCTTCGTTGAAGTACGCCGTCCCCTCTTCGGGATGTTCTTTGGTTTGGATGAATCGTTTGAACTCGTGCCGGGATGAGCAAGCTCTTTTGAACCTCGTCAAGAACATCATTGCTCAGTGTAAATTGTTCAAATAATTCCAAATACACTTGTTGCGTCTTTCAATAATCACAATCAACACACCTTACGAAGTTTCGTGTCAAGTTGCGATTTTTCGCCGTAATCACTTTATTTATCAAATTGAGGTTCTATTGCCTTATCATGACTGGAAGCTGCCTTTCCCTTGATGCCGCTATCCCATCTCCATCTCAGCCTTTTGATAAGAAGTAGCTTAGCTGCCAAATTGGCACCTTCTATCGACCAGACGAGCGAATGCTCTCTGATAACATGGTCTCGAGGTGAGCGAATCATGCGGGATAAATAGCGTCGGACATCCGCCGAGAATGATAAGCGAGCCTCATTGGCGACCACCCGATGGCATCGGATGTTCCGAGAAGCAACGACTTTTGTGGAGTCCATCGCTTCAAAACTTGCCGAAATCCCTTGTTGGTCTCGCCTAGCCATGACGCACCCATTTTTTCAACAGTCAACGTCGAATTCGCCCCCCTTCAACTTTTCAGCCCAATTTTTTCGCTGCCGAACCCGGAGCCGAGATGAGGCCGATTGACCAATCTTTGACGGCGGTGATCCGAGTCTTGGCTCCTCCGGACGCTGGTATCCGCTCTCAACGTCGGATTGTCTCACGAAAAGTTTTCATGCGCTGGTTCTTTTACTCATAGTTCCAGCCGCATATTCGAACTTCCTAATCATTCAGCCATAATCTACGCTGGTATTTTTGCTATCGATTTTCTTGTACTTTGTCCCAAGTGATCGACTAGACAGGGTTGCAGCATGAGGGGCGATCAGGAAACAACCAAGGCCGAAAAGGCTCTTCACGACCAGACGAATATCTTACCTTTGAAGAAACTCCTAGTTGTCTTTGCAACCCTTGCAGTGACTCTATTAGTCTCATTCATCGACCAGAATGGCATCAGTATCACTTTGCCAACGATTGCTGCGGACCTCAACGCGGAGGATACGATATCATGGGCGGGTACGTCATCGCTCATCGCCAACACCACATTTCAGATGCTCTACGGGCGCTTCTCAGATATTTTCGGCCGAAAAGCCGTCTTCTTAAGTGCCATCGGTCTTTTGTCAATTGCAGACTTGCTCTGCGGGCTTTCGCAGAATGCGACCATGTTTTACATCTTCCGTGGCGTTGCGGGCATCGGCGGAGGTGGTATCACGAATCTGGCCATGATCATTGTTTCCGATGTTGTCACTTTAGAACAAAGAGGCAAGTACCAAGGAATCTTGGGCTCGATGGTTGGTTTGGGAAACGTCCTCGGACCTTTTCTTGCTGCAGCCTTTGTTGAGAGGGCAACATGGAGAGCGTTCTTTTGGATGCTCTCACCCCTTGGTGTTATTGTCGGCGTCATCTCATACTTCTTCCTGCCATCTAAGCCTCCAGATGACGACTTTATGAAGAGTGTCAAGAAGATCGACTATGCAGGTTCATTCACCTCGTCAGCCGGCGTTATTTTGCTGCTTATTCCTATATCTGGAGGTAAGTCATGCCTCGATCCTGTCCGTTGACAGAGTAAAATACTCATTTAATGTGTTAGGTGGTGCATATTTCCCATGGAACTCAGCGATGGTCATCAGTATGTTGACAATAGGGGCACTTGCTCTCGTGTCTTTTGTCATTGTGGAGTGGAAGTTTGCCAAGCTTCCGATGATGCCAGGTAATTGTCGTCAACAAGAAATATGTCACCGAATCCAGCTAACAATACACAGTTCCCATCTTCAAGAACAAGGTTGTTGTTGTCCTTTTGGCACAGTCATTCCTCTTTGGGGCAGCGTACCAAGGATACCTCTACTACATCCCGCTGTATCTTCAGAACGCTCATCAGTTCTCGGTCATTCATTCGGCGGGAATCTACGTTTCCTTAGTTGTTTGTCAATCCGTATTCTCCATTATCTCCGGACAGTACATATCGAGAACTCAGCGCTATGGAGAAGTTATCTGGGCAGGCTTTGGCCTCTGGACACTGTGAGTACAGGGCATTCCCAATCCCGGCTACTACGTTTGCAACCGTCTGACAGATCATACAGAGGAGCTGGTCTCACACTCATTTTCGACCGAAACACCAAGGCTGGAATCATTGTTATTCCTCTACTGATCATCGGCATTGGTGTCGGTTTCATCTTTCAGCCAACACTGGTGGCCCTGCAGGCGCACTCCATCAAGTCTCGCAGAGCAGTCATTACTTCAAACCGCAACTTCTTCCGATGCGCCGGTGGTGCTTGCGGATTAGCCGTCTCCGCGGCAGTGCTTCAGGCAACTTTACGAGCAAACTTGCCATCAGGCTTCAAAGACCTCGCCAGCAGCACTTACTCGATACCGCAACTGAATGAGCAAGATAAGTCCGCGGTTCTCGACGCATACATGGCGGCTAGTCGAGCTGTTTTCATTCTTCAGATACCACTGATTGGGTTGTGCTTGGTGGGCTGTCTGTTGATCAAAGACAGAGGCTTGCATCCGATTGAGGAGGCGAAGCCAGATGATACGTCTAGCGAGAGTCGGGATGAAGAAATGGGACACCCGAGTGAGAAAGGTTCACATGATGGCAACCACGACAGCCACGGACAAGTGCTGGCACAGCGCACCAGCGCACCGCAGCAACAAGCCGGGAGGACGTGAGACTGCATGATCGTTGCAGGATAGAGGGAAAAGATGGGATCGGGATAAAATGCGGACTAATAGATCATGACTAACGTGAAAATGATAGACTAATAGACGGAGGATTAAAGAG